TGTGTGTACCTGTGTGTGTACCTGTGTGTACCTGTGTGTGTACCTGTGTGTACCTGTGTGTGTACCTGTGTGTACCTGTGTGTTTACCTGTGTGAACCTGTGTGTGAACCTGTGTGTGTACCTGTGTGTGTACCTGTGTGTGAACCTGTGTGAACCTGTGTGTGAACCTGTGTGTGAACCTGTGTGTGTACCTGTGTGTGTACCTGTGTGTGAACCTGTGTGAACCTGTGTGTGTACCTGTGTGTACCTGTGTGTGTACCTGTGTGTGTACCTGTGTGTGTACCTGTGTGTGAACCTGTGTGTGAACCTGTGTGTGTACCTGTGTGTACCTGTGTGTGTACCTGTGTGTGTACCTGTGTGTGTACCTGTGTGTGAACCTGTGTGTGAACCTGTGTGTGAACCTGTGTGTGTGTGTACCTGTGTGTGTACCTGTGTGTGTACCTGTGTGTGAACCTGTGTGTGAACCTGTGTGTGTACCTGTACCTGTGTGTGTACCTGTGTGTGTACCTGTGTGTGGGGGATGTGCTGGTGGAACGACATGCTGCTCTGTTTGATCTGCTGCTGTCGGACCAGGTTCAGCAGGGTCTTGTCCTGGCTGCTGGTGTTGGGGGTCCTCGGCGGTCCTGGTCCGGCCTCGTAGTGGGACAGAGGCCTGGTGTTGCTGTAGTTGAGGCGTACTGTGGGGGTCGGGGGTCCCTGTGCTGGAGGGTGGCTCAGAGGGGGTCCTGTGGTCAGGGGGCTCAGCATGTTGGGGTGCCCGGCGGTGCCCTGCATGTAGCTGCCCGCTCCTGACTTTGGCGAGCTCTTGCTGGGCTGCGGGGGCATCATCAGGGGCTTCTGGGCATTGGGGTTGAAGTCCGACGGGTACAGCGAGGGGTTGGTGACCCCCAGTGAGGTCTGAGACGTGTTGGCCATGGGGGGCCAGGCGTGAGGACCCTGGCTGAGGAACTTGGCCTCTCTCTGAGGCTGCAGCTTCTGACCCCTCTGCTGAGCGGCCAGGTGCTGCAGCTGCTGGGCCCGCGACACGTCTTTGGGTCCCGGCGGCAGCAGGTGGTTGGGAGGGGGCTGCAGCGGTCTGGAGGGAGGGGCCGGTTGAGGTGGGGGGAGGGCAGGGGAGGAGGCAGAGGAGGAGGCCACGGGGGAGCTGTTGGGGTGGGGAGKGGGTACGGAGCTGGACTTCATGTGGGGCGAGGTGGTCCGACAGTCCTGCTCAAAAACGGCAGAGGGTGAAGGAAACTCCGTCTTGACACTAGCCAAGTCAGGGAGCAGCCCCTGGGAGGACGGACCCCCGTCTCCTGCTGCTCCCCCCGCTCCTCCTGGAGTCAAAGCCAGCTCTGAAGGGTCCTTGCGGTCCTCCAAGCTCTCCTCCAGAATCTTCTGGATGTCCTCGATGGGCACGGAGCGGTTCAGGTCCTCGATCAGCTCGTTCCACTCCTGCTCGTTCAGGTCGGGGAACAGGCTGTTGCTGCCCCCCACCATGATGGGGGGCATGATGGGCAAGATGTCCTCCGGCTCCTGCTTCATCTTATTACAGTCGAAGTCCGGCTCTCCTCCGCCRTCCCCCAGATCCCCCGTCGACACACGGGTGGGGTTTGATAAATCGTTGAGGCTCGGCTTGGAGTCCAGGGGGGGCCGGGTGTCCAGAGACAGTATTTTGTGGGGGGGTCCGTCACTGAAACCGTTGACTGGAGAACTGGTGTTGTCCGGCTTCCTCTTCAACGTCTCCTGTAACTGTAGGAACATAAAACAGTTATTCTGTTAAACTAACATTTAGACAATTAATGAAAACAGTAAATAAATCAGTGTAACAACTAAACCAGTCCAAGTTAAAGAAAAATAACGTGAGCACAGATTAAACTCCAGGGGTCAGATTTATAAACCTTGTGTACGCACGTTTCTGCTCCTTTACAGATCACAGCTTCACCTCAGAGTTTGGACCAAGGTCCTCCTCAGGTTCTACCCTCTACACGCCCACACTCAACCATCAACAGTCAAAGTAAAGTACCTCATGAATGTTCAGATGTATTTAAATCAGTCAGCTGATCAGTGATTGGCTCAGACCAAGGAGGTTCTATAGAACAGCTGGAGCTCAGAAACCAGGTGACCCTGTGATCGGCTGGAGAAGCTAATGGCTAACGCTAAACGGTTAAGAC